GTGGGCCAGGAAAACAAGGAGGGAAATTTCGGTCAAGAAAAGCGGATGCCATCACGCGAAGGCTGCATTGAGGCGGAATGATGGGGTTGTTCGGCGTGCCACAGTCCAGGTAGCCGAACCAAAAGGGACCGTGGAAAACCAAAGCCTGGGGTTCCGAGCCAGGACCGCGTCAAAGCCGGTGCTTTTCCAAGACCGCTCTCTGCAGCAGTTGAAACCTGTCACCTGAGGTAATCGGCCTTCTCTCTCTACGCAGCATCACCACCTTCCAGGTTGTCTCATCAGGGGACAGCGGGGTGTGAGATGGCTTCCTCACCCCAGACTTCGACACGGTAGAGTACATCCACGGATCTACTGCTGCAGCCACAACGCCTAAGCGCACCGTTCACCTACTCTCTGCCGAATCTCTGACATGCCCATCATAAAAACACACCGAAACTAGTGGGTATCCGTACTAAGCACATAAACATGCTACAAGGTACGTAAGGAACATTCCTCGGCGTGGTTCATGGCGTTATTGGGGCAGTCCGGAGAATCTTTCGCCTACGTTTGCCTATCACTGCTCTTAATACATATACCCGAGATGTGAATACCAAATTGGAGTGCCTAGAAAATTCACTCTTGTTTGCACAGTCAAGCTCATCCCGCAATGCTTATCCGCAGATCGTCGAATCTCGGCTGTAGTCGCAATACAATACCCTGCCGTCCATAAGGACCGCACAAATACGCGACCCCTCACCTGGCCCGCTCGTGAATATCGGATTGGTACAGTGGATATCCAAGGGAGGAAGGAGCGACCCAGATGCTGGCCTCTGAAAAGAATTGCGTGCTCTATGACGCTATCCGTTACTTCCAGATTTGAACCACAGCCGCAGCCACTCCTCTGAAAATTTAAAAGGTGCTCGAAAATTTTCAAATTTTCAAATATCTGACTGCTTGCAGAGTACCTCGTCATACTATTCCACGAGTACACTCTCAACAAGTTTGCAGTCATTCATTGTGCAGATGAAGGAGATGATGCCCCTTCGCTGGGCGTTGCCCTTGCTTCTCGCGTTCTTCGTGACGTACATTTCAGCGGCAGTTCACGAACAGCTCTCCGCCATTCCCCATGGCTGGTCGACTCTCCCTGCCACCGCGGAGGAAGCGACTGGTGCGGCAACGTTTACTATCGCTCTCAAGCAGAACTGCACCGACCTCGAAACGCTGTTGCTAGATGTCTCGACTCCCGGAAGCCCTCAATACGGCCACTATCTCACCAAAAAGGAGGTCGATTCCCGTTTCCCGGTCAACAAGAGTGTCGTGGCAGATGTCACTGCGTGGTTGAAGAGTCACGGAATTAGTAACTACCGCGTGGACGGGTCGTTTATTGATTTCGTGTCTGACATTCCCACGGCGAACAAGCTGCTGAACGCTTCCTATCAGTACTACCATCCCACCAACAACAAGCAAGGGGTCAGAAAGCTGCGTACGCTACGCTACTCGGTCCCAGACAGCATGCAGAAACACATCGCCCTGATCGATCCCGGAACATACTTTGGCAAGACCTCTCACTTCAGTGTCATGCGGTCCCCAACAAGCAAGACCTGGAATGCAGACTCACTCAAAGGCAGAGACGCCGCCTCACCTTCAAAGACGACGGTAGACGTGTCCTGCCAAACATCCATTACGCCTGCGTGTTTGCGTCAGATGTATAACGTAGGCGACTACGTTCCAGACCCGAAGTCAGGCAGCCGCATCGGGTCCGGCAGTTTTCTCAACGAATCAGCGATATATGACGACCTGTTCCAGTTCGAAGACTATAACAAGATCCCGCGACAGAATTTCACGAAGGTGTCGGTAGCTAACGGCACATTTAACCAAAACACCACGGGAGGGGGGTTCGGAGAGGCGGATTTGGACGTGCAGAACATCATTGGCATCGCGCATCCTCTCCCAGTTGTGGAATATAGCACCGGTGGATCTCCGTACGCACACCTATCCCCAGCGTTTATATATATAACTGACAGGCGACTGTAGCCCGTTCATACCAACACTAGGCCAGCCGACGCCGGCAGATAACGGCAACGAGCCGTACGTGCCATACTATCGATACCTTTTGGGGCTAGAAAATGAAGAGCTGCCCCAGGTTATTTCCAACTCGTACGGTGATCAAGAAGATGTATGCAGCAATCTCCCCCAGGAATGACACATGCTAACCATGCTTAGGGAGTGCCGTTCAACTATGCTGAGCTGACCTGCGACCTAATCGGCCTACTCTCCCTGCGCGGCATCACCAACTTATTCTCGTCGGGCGACAGCGGCGTGGGAGACGGCTGCCTTGCTCCAGACTTCAAAACGGTGGAGTTCATCCCTAGCTTTCCGGCTACTTGTCCCTATGTCACCGCTGTCGGGGGCACCGTTGCTGTGACACCTGAAGTGGCGTGGAATTTGAGCACTGGTGGATTCAGCTCGTACTTTCCTCGCCCATCCTGGCAGGAAGCCACCCTCAAGAAGTATCTCCAGACGGAGGTCAGCAATGAGACGTTCAAGTACTACGCAGCCTATACCAACTGGTCCGGGAGAGCATTCCCGGATGTGGCAGCACACAGCCTCACCCCGAATTTTCAGGTTGTCTACGCCGGTAAGCTGGACGGGAGCGGGGGCACGAGTGCGGCTTCTCCGGTCTGGGCGGCCATTGTGGGACTGCTGAACGACGCGAGGTTGCGGGCAGGTAAACCTGCACTTGGGTGGTTGAACCCGTTGCTATACCTGGCGGGCGCGGGAAGGGATGCGCTGATTGATGTTACGGATGGATATGCTGTTGGATGTCTGCCACCCAGTCAGAACGGCAGTGGAGTGGTGTTGGGGGCAAGATGGAACGCGACGGTGGGGTGGGATCCGGTGACAGGGTGGGGGACGCCGGATTTCCAGAGGCTGAAGGACTTTGTGCTCAAGATTTGATGACTGTTGGGTCTGTGAAAATTGGGAACGGGAACGGGAGGGAAATGGTTAAGTAAAATAGAAACAATGGTCAAATGACAGCTTCCGAGGTTGCGCCCGGACCCTCGGTGCCAAGAAAAGAAGAGGCCGGTCTGTAAATATCTGGGCCGGAGGTCTGGAGCAAGCCACGGGCTCGGTCAGACGCACACCACACAATGAATGTCGCATTGAGCCGCTCTTGTTCCTATGAACTGGCTGCTCATTTGTCATCCAGTCACACGCATTAATTAGTCTCAACTTGGGAACCGAGTCAGATGACAGGTGCGCTCGCTTTGACAATTGACGTCACTCCAGACGTCTAATTCGACCGATGTTATCGGTCAACAATTTCCAAACATGCTCCAAAGACAAACACCTTATTCTGTCTTGGCTACTTTTCTGTAGCATCGCTTGGACTTTTACTGTCAACCTGTGCCTTGGAGAAGGGCATTTTGAAGTTCAGGGCCGAGTCTGACCATTGCATCGAACCCCTGCTGACTTTGTCACTGACCCGAGGGGAGGGCGGCTAAACCGGCGCAACCCAAAACACGCGAACGGCCGCAGGAACCGTCTCAAGTTTGAGGTTCCTCTCTGCATTGCTGAGACAAGCTTTCCATTTGCGGGGATTGCATCGCACCAATCAATTGCCCCACTTGCATGTTAGATCGCCGTCTGCTGCGGTACAACCTGTGGACATCCTGCGGGAAGGAGGCACCGTGGGCGCTTCTCAGATCCATATCCGTGCCCACTCTGCAATTTGCCCTGCGCATGGGATGTTCGGACATCTCAAGATCCCATTTTCCCCATTTTCATTCCCTTTGCATCATGCACACCTAAACTCTCCCTCTATCCTTCCTTCTGTACATTCTCCGGGAATTTGTTGGTGTTTTCTTCGCAATCGCTGGTCGACCTTTCGTTTCAATTGTCCTGTACATTCCACATTCACTCTTTACCTCGCTGGTCGAACATTCCTTTTGTCCCACCCAGCCGTGCCTTCCAGTTGACCACAACTTGAACACCACCAATCACCCGGACGCCACCATCGCCAGCCATCACCTAGACAGCAGCGCCAGCAATAAAAAAGACGGAAGAAGAGGAAAGGACAAAAGAGGAACCGAGGGAACAGAAAGGAAGAGTCAAAATGGGCGCAAATCTCTCATCAACCCAGGTGGTGGACACGTCCAAGGACATCATCTCGCCGACGGACCGGCAGGCCGAGATCATCCTGGGCGTCGCCTGGTTGGGGTCTCTGTACGGGATCGCCATGATCTGGTGCGCCGTCAACCTGCTGCAGCGCTGGGCGGGACCGCACGGCGAGAGGGGGGTCAATTTCTTTAGTATACTCGCTGCGTTTTTACTGTCGACAGGCTGGCCGGTCGTGCTGGTTTATCTTTGTTCGAGTAGTCGGTAGACACACCACACACCACACCACACACATCACACCGGATAACGACCTCGATATGGCCTGTCACAAGGGTAAAGGGGAACGATAACTACAAGCCAGGCAAAGCTGGATGGTCGGCGACAACGGCGGGAAAGTCTTGAACCATGAGGCTCCCGATTTGCAACGACACAAGGCCAAGGGTGCGGATAGGCTAGTGCAGGACAGGATGAGATGACGGGCATGGAATGGGCTGCCGTCACAGGACAATTAACAAATTCTTGTGCATTTTCTTCTTCTGTGGGAGAGCTGTTTATAGTGTCCTTGTGCAACACTCTCGGCACTTTGGTCGACGCGGTGGGATGAAGCACGAGGTGAGCCACGACAGTGCTAGCTGCATCCCTTTAGCTTGTGCAATTGTCCTTCCTTTTTCTAAGTGGAGTAGAGCACCTTTGGCAGTTAGCATCATCGGTCCCACAAGTTCAAGTAGTTAGTAACTATAGTGGCAGGACGGCGTTGAAAAGACGGCCAGAGTGGGCTTGACAATGCAAAGCACATGATACAACTCACTTCACATTCTATTGCAAATGACTTCGTCATGAAACTCTTTTTCGGGCGTGAGCGCAGTCATGGGGTGAATCGGTTTCGTAACCTTCCAATTAAAGCCCGCTTAGCTCAGTGGTAGAGCGCTTCACTTGTAATGAAGAGGTCGATAGTTCAATCCTGTCAGTGGGCACGTCGACATAGACGTGGCGAGATTTGCTCACATTTTTCAGAGGTTCTGACCTTCAAAGTTTTTTTGTCTGTTAACTACCTACGTAGTACTAATGAATAAGTAATGTGATGTGTTGTTTTGCAGTTTCCCCAGACTAGCACACCCGCACGACCCCCCGCTAAGAAAGATGTTTGGAGATTCACCTTGCTACTTATCTGAACCATGTAACAGTTTTGCTCTTGTAGGTTTAATAAGTCGTTGAATGTTACATGCACCCTTGTCAAGTTCGTGGCGCCTTTCCCTCTAATACTTTCTATCCAGGCATATACCTAATTCTAGATGCTTGCTACACCCGGTGACCGGACCGGCGCAGTCAGTCACAGCAAGGCGGATCGTAGAAGCGGCACGCAATAGCGGGTTTTTGTCGCCAGTCTGTTTACCCCCTCATAAGCAGAAGCACTCACCATTATGACTGCTGTTCTTTTGTTAGTGGATAATGTCTGTGTGGCGTTCAAGTTGCAGGCCCGGAGAAAGGAACAAGAAGAGGACGCAGGCCGGAAGAGACAGGGTATTTAAGCCCAGGCAGGCAGCTTCATTAAAAGGGGCAAGTCCGCAACTCACCAATGGGGCAGGACTCACGCAGAAGGAGGAAAGGAACCTCTTTGCACCGCATTGGAAGCAGGGCACAAATCGCGATGGCTCATCGAGATACTACTAAGGCAGCAAGTGCACCGGTAGCCTAGCACTGACTGGCAGTTACTTGACACGTGCCTACCTTTTCACGACGCTGCTAACTTGAGAACGTCATTACTACGAAGGTAGGGCATTCTCGGACATTGTCAAATGAGGTTTGCGTCCGTTAGTGGCCCTACCTTATTGGAGGGTAAAGGATTTCCGACCATCTGCACGTGTGGAAGCGTTTCCAACACCGATGGACTCAAATAGATACTATCGCTTCAAGCTTCCAAAACAGTTGTATGCAATTGTGTATTCCTCATAATTCGTGATACATGGCGTTCCTGTGTATATATGCTTCATCTCTCCATGCAAATCATTGCCAGACCTCTCATTGCCCGGCCTTTTCAATGGTTCTGTAACAACATGTAAAAAGTAAATTCATGAATCTTTCCTCATCAGTGTCATCAACTGAACAACTCGAGGGGTATCGTGCATTCATGATATCCAAAAATCAGCTGACCCAACATTATTCCCAAGTTAACCCAGCGCCGTGCCTGTCAATCATGACTGTTGTTGTTGCGCATGTGTAGTGTAGAGAGGCGGAGGCGCTTTGCCAGGCCATCTCCGTTGGATTCGGCGTGACTAGACGGCTTCATCATCTTCTCCCCGAGCTGCTCCTGCCACGGCTCGAGCCGCGACTTTGATGCCGCACTTCGGCCGGGTAGTAGACCCTCGCCGGCGAATGAACCCGGACAGGCTGTATCAACGTAGACCTGCGCACCTCGACACTCTTCCTTCTCCCGTGCGAGTGATGTGAATGTCTGGAACGCGACCTCCGTGGCTCGACCTCCTCGTGGTAATAGTTCGGTTTCTCCTTTCCTGCCGACAGAGCACAGATGGCCCAGATGATGAGCAGGATTGCGACAATCACACCGATGACGATACCCGCTATCGCTCCACCGTCAAGGTTATTTGAGTTATTGTTCTGCTGCGCCGCTGGCGCCGTTGTGACGGTTACGACTGTCTGGCGCTCGAGGAGGCGGGTCGGCGGCGGGGACTCGACAACTCGTGTCGCTAATTGGACGAGCTTTTCTGGAAAGGGAGCCATATTGTGGGCAGTTTTTTTGGGTTTTGCGACGGGGTACACAACGAACGCGATGGAACTGCAACGGAAAGCGAAAGACGAAGAGATCTGGAGTAACACGAGCACAAACGAGTACAATTTTGTATAATTTATCGAAAATTCTCGAACCTGTTACAGCAGGTTTGCCAGGTTCTTCTTCCAGCGCAAAGAGCTGGATTACCGGTATTGAGGTGGCAGGTGATGATGTCACTGAAGCTCATCACGTATAGAAAAGTGGGTAACCGCGAGAACCAACCTATTGCCAGACTTGCATACGCACTCCTGGTCACCCACACCACCTCTCACCGGCTTGACCGTTTACTCGACCAATACTCAGGACATGATCAGGAGATTAATCGACACACAGATTTAGACAATTGGACGGGGCTTTTTCACCCCCTGGAGTTCTGGTATGAAATATCGACTTTTCGCGAGGGAACAGTTTTGGTCTTTGTCTTCATTACGCTACGGTATTAGCTCCCTTGGCTCTTATCTCGGAGCTTTTCAGCTACAACAGCCGCAGAATGCCACCTCGCTAACCTCTGTAATTAGGTTAGAAGCATATGAATCACGTGAGACACTCTCCATTTTCCTCACCGTCGGCAAGCGAAAATTTTCTCTCCAGACACATCCGAAGCACATAACGGCAGCGAAACAAACGACGGGAAGAGATCGTCCAGACAATCAATAGTCCAACACTCACGTGACTGGGAAGCCTTTCAAGATGGGGCATCATAATCGTCACTTTGCTGGCGACCCTCACGCGCTAAGTGGAGCGTGGAGCCCCCCATCGAGTACCGCCAAGTAAGCAGCGCCTGGAGCCTTGTATGAATATCGCAGGAACTGATTGACGGGAACAGTTTCTGCGAGGAAGACTACGCCGTTACTCGATATCTTGCCGAGTTTGCCAACACATTGACAAACCTCGCATACGGTATGTCCGCCCCAAGCCCGGCTAAGGAATCAGACGTCGTCCGTCGGAATCCGCATAAAACTCGTGGAATTTGAAGCTTCTCGGCAATGACACTAATACCTGTTAGTCTACTTCGCTCTCCGGTATATGTATGGCCCTGGCAGCCGTCCTTTCGCACCAAAGTCGGATTCCATGTCCCTTTCTCTACTCGTCCTCGGCATCTCATCGTTTCTCTTCCATGCATCCCTTCGCCAAACCCTCCAGTTCGCCGACGAGCTCGCAATGCTTGGACTTGCTTGGTCTCTTCTCCAAGGTACTCTGACGGCTCGACAATCGCCTGGCAATGCTCGTTTTATCAACATCAGCCTAGCTATTATCTTTCCTCTGTTCTCGGCATTCTATGTTTGGGCCGGAAAGATCATCTATCACGCCACAGCATTTGCCATCATCATGGTTCTCATCACACTACGAGGTCACTACCTGTTCCATTGGATTAAGCCCGAGTTCCCGGAAGCTAAGGGTCTCAAGTGGAGAGCCCAAGGGTTGAAAGCTCTCTACATGCTCTTGGCTGGCTATTTCCTCTGGAATATCGACCTTGAGTATTGCGCAGAGCTTAGAAAGCTCAGGGAATGGGCCGGGTTTCCGTGGGCTTTGCTGTTCGAGCTGCATGGATGGTGGCATATCTTGACTGCTATCAGTGCGAGCCAATTCATGGACGTTGTGAGAGAAATGCAGGAAGAATTAAGTAGCGAGAAGGAGGAATGACGGGTATAGGTGTGAGATCATAGAGAAAGATTGGCTTCGCCAGCGGAAACTCCGCAATGGTGGCGCGGAGTTGGGACGTTTGGGCTAGTTCTATCTGGCGAGCGTTCTGGTTTAACCGGAGGAGCCCCGGCTTATCTTCGAGATTCCGGACGTGGGTTGGAATTGTCCTTGGACAGTCATTTGCAAGTAGAGCATAGATACCTTCCTTTTCTTTGCTCACATGTACTTGTGGAAAATCCTGCATTTGAGTCTCTGAATTGGCCAAAAGTACCATCTCCCCGCGGCTCCATACTACGTGGCGATGTAGGCAGTAATGATCTGCAGAGTCTTGAAGTTCAGGCCGACGTGCACAGCTCCCGAATGCTGTGAGCCATCCCCGAACCCGGGAGCTGCGGCACCCGACATGCATCGCTCGGCGTGCGGGTCGCGTCCCGGCGTGGTTTTCCTGTCGCAAACCTCTGCAACATCTGCCCGGCCAACGAGCATGAACGACGTCGTTGTTGCTGCTGCGTCAGGCATCGACGTCTTGATGGGTCGCATTACGATGGCGGCATCGCAGTTCCAGAACCGCACGATGACGTCGCCGAGCCTGGCCGCCGGGGGAACGAGGGCGATCACGTAGCCTGTACCAAGACAGATTCGCGGCTCCTGTTTATCGACCCCCATATCGGCCCAAATCATCTCGTACTCGGCGGCATGGCTGGAGTCCGAGGTCCTGGGCTGGTGGCTATCCCCAACGTGCCATGCCGTGACATGAGGATCACGGATATCCCGGATCCGATCCACGTCTGTCTTCTCCCAGTCCAGTATCTTGGCCGCATACTCCTCGTCGATCCGCCGCAGCGTTTCCAAGTCTTCCGCCTTCTGGTAGTGGTCGACCCAGCAGCTGATCCAGTCCTGCTGCGCGCGGGACGAAGCGACGAGAGAGATGCAATCCGGCCCTAGTGCCAGGATTTCGCCGGCTATGTATCCAACGGCCCTGATCAATGGGGGATTCTTCTGCTCGTCCTGGGCACTATTAGCGCGAGAGCCCCCCCCCCCACTCCAATCCCTCGAGATATAATACGCCCAAGGTATACACGCGACTTACCGCAGTGTGCCCGGAGCCGGCGGATTCCTCGTCCACCTTTTGACCGAGTGCGTCCTGAACTATGCCGGCCGTCCTCACGATGCTGATGCGCCTCTCCTCGTTGAGAGGGGCGTCTACATGTCCACCCACAGCTTGCTCCCGTGCCTTACTCCCGACTCGGATGTGGACGCGGCTCTCGACATTGTTGGCTTGGAAGAACACGAAGCCAACCACGCTAGTCCAGATGTCGTAGAACGAGCGGGAGTAGTCGACCCTGAGTGAACCTCTGCCTCGCCGAGGTTCGGGTAGGGGCTTCAGCCCGGTGCTAAGGGAGTTGATATAATCGGTGAGAGAATCTGCCCTCTCGTCTTGCCCCACAAACGGACAGATGTCGTTGGCACACCCAAGCAGGCCGTACACCTTGTCTCTCAGCTCGGAGCATTGGCTCCTTGCAAATCTCTCGATCATGCGTT